CTTGCCCCAGCTAACAACAGATTGGAGGTAAAAAAAAGAGTAACAGCCAGTTTTACTTTATCGGATGTATTGGAATTACTATTGAGACAGGAGTAAATAGTTGCAACGTCAGCATGAATGCAGTTTGGAGCAGATTTATCAAGGCGGCCTTCGTGGTCGTAGAGGCACGTTTCTGCTAAAGAAACAGTTTCTCTGATAAAATTAGGCTACAGGTTCGATTCCCGCCTTTGGGAATAGCAAAAAAATCTAGGAATGTTGTTTTATATATATATATATATATATATATATATATATATATATATATATATATATATATAAGAAATATAATCTTAATATGAACTATATTTATGGGATAAAGTGTTCAATATCAGAGATGGGCGTGTGTAAATATAAAAGTGAACATGGAAGTCAACAAGACGCCTGACGATTGCGTCTACCTTGAAACAGCCTGTCACCTCATGTAAATTTTTATATATATATATATATATATATATATATATATATATATATATATATATATATATATACAAAGGGTGCAATGGGTAAATTGTCGCCATTTTATATTTTTAATTTTGCGCATGCGCGTTGTTTGTTTTTGATTTTGTCGACTGCATATATAGTAGGGTCATTTGGGCGTCGTTCTGTGAGAAAAAAAGCACCATGATGCAATTCACTCTGCCAGAAATTTGGAAACGGCATGCTGTACTGCTTGGCATTTCCCACTGGAAGCTCCAATACGAACATTTCAGAGTGTTTGGGTGTCAATCTGAGGACAGTGCAGAGGATTCGGAAAGAGTTGGATGATGATAATGGTGATTCAACATCATGGTGTTTGAAGTGATCACTAGTGATGGCTGACGTTATGAACCTCCATTCATCTTCCAAAGGGCCTCAGACTCAATAGGCCTATATCAATGGCTTTGACGAAGTAGTGCTGCTCTGGTTGAAGAGGGTGGTTGCTCGAAGACACTCTGTCTGGCAACAGGACACTCCACCATGCCACACAAGCAGGAGAACCTAGTCATGGCTGTTAGACAATTTCTGTGACCACATCACCCCTTACATCTGGCCACTCCCCAGACTGCAACCTCATTGATTATTATGTGTGGTGCGCAGTTGAGCGAGAGACCAACAAAACATCTTGTAACACCAAAGGTGAACTGTAGGCAAGGACTATGGCAGCATTCCCCAACAAGGAAACCGTCTACAAGAGTTGCAGGAGATTCCGAAGTCGTCTGGAGGTCGTGGTTGAAATCAGTGGCGATTTTATTGAATAAATTTACTCTTTAATATTTCAAGATATTTTTGTGTAAACATATCTGTTAAAATGAGATGTCAGTGTTTTCTTTCATTTTTGCGTAATTAAGACCACAATTATCGATCGCATTTTCTCTCTCTCTCTGTATATATATATATATATATATATATATATATATATATAAAATATATATATAAAATGGACATTAAAGTCAACACTATATATATATATATATTTACATTTTTGATGCTCTTTGACAAGGTCCAAGATTCACAGAATAAATGGCACGACTCCAAGGAAGATGCCACCAAGACGCAAGGGGCCATCGAGAGTAAAAGAGAAGGAAAAGGCTTTAGAAGGAACCGGAAACCTAATCCTAAACAGGAAATAAGAGATTTTCCTTCTCCTATTCAAAAGTCAGAGGAGGAGGGTGATTTTTTGACCGGACGATATATATATATATATATATATATATATATATATATATATATATATATGTGTGTGTGTGTGTGTGTGTTAGGCTATTGAATGACGAAGGACTTCATCAGACTAAAAATTCTTATTGATGGAATTTATACATGTTGTTTTAGGGAATATTTGACATAAACGTCGGTTAAATTACACACAGAAAAAGAGCTAAATTTAACATTTTTCAGTTTGAAAATTTAAATTTTAATTCATTATATCTAATTATTTATACACGGTGTATCAAATATACCTTTTACAAACTTTTGGGGCGGGTTCCTCACAACAAAGCAAGGATAAAAATCCATATAAACATGCGTCCACAAATTCTTTGTTTTTGAGTTATTAAGTTTAAAGAAATTTTACGATAGATGGTGCTATGTAAACTAGGCTACAGTTGTCATTCTTGTACATTTGTAGCTAGTCTGTCTTCAATGTTTAACGTCTGTAGTAGCGAGTTAACTGAGAAGTGTTCCGTTTGAAAATGGCGGGATATTCATGTCGTGAGCAGGCAGATATTATACTGAGGAAGGTGCTATTTATGCATAAAATTACACTTTCTTGTTAATTACGAGGTGTAGACAGGTTCGTCTATTGCCCTTTTTAAATTCCATTCCCATTTATGGAACAGGAGTACAGGTATATCCCTTGTTTTTTGTTTAGGATTGGCTTTTCCGGTTGATTTTGTAAAGCCTTCCCATTTCTTTCACTGATTATGTTTATATGGAATTTTGTCCTTGTTTTACAGTGAGGATTTTGCTTTGAAGTTTGTAAAAGTAATTTGATACTCTCTCTCTCTCTTTCTTAAAGAAAAAATATATATATATATATATATATATATATATATATATATATATATATATATATATATATATATATATATATATATATATATATATATATATATTTATTTTAGAAAGAACTTGGTAAACCGAATGGTAATTCAAGGAGGATGAAATCCTGAGAGCTCAATGTGAATACAGATATTTATTTAATGAAAAACAGACCACTTTAAATTTTACCATTAAAATAATTAAATTTCAAATAAACAAAAATCAAGGATTTTTTGAAAATTTAAACCGGAAAAAAGAGTAACAATTCCATGAAATTTTAAATTATTGTAATTGAATAAAATGGTCTGTTTGGATATATATATATATATATATATATATATATATATATATATATATATATATATATATTTCCATAAAAAAACTTCTGTAATCTTGCCTTCATTTTAAGTTTCACACGATCTTTGAAACGGATGATCTGCTTTTGGATTCAATTCCAGCTCCTTTTTTTTTTTCAATTCCAGTCTGATTTTCTTATTTTAAATTTTCTTCATTATTTCTGACTTTTTTTCTCTGACTGCTAACCCCCAATGTCTTTGCATTTTTTCTTTTCTTTGTTTTGTTTTTTATATATATATATATATATATATATATATATATATATATATATATATATATATATATATATATATTTACATTAAATTTCCAAATAACAAAATACCTTGCTGTATTAAAAAATAATTTAAATTGACGGGAATTAGTTTTTATTTTTGAAACATTTTATTTTTTAGCGCCATTTTTAGCTATCTTTCATCACAATGTATTTTTCTCTAAAAAAAAAATCTTTCAAAAATAAAATATACTTTTCTGAAATTCTATTTCAGGATTATTAATTAATCTGATTTGAAACAAATATTACTTAGTTTTAAATATCACAGAAATGCATTTTTAACGTGGCAGTAACTGTTTATTTTATGTGTTGACAGGATTACAGCTTGAATGACAGACAGAAGTGTATCTGATGTTTTTCTACGGGGGACATATCTATAAAATTTACTTTATGACTATAACGTGCGAGCCTTTTTTTATATAATTTAAAAATTTAGGAAAAAATTGTCTGTAATCTAATGTTTTATTGAAGCTTTGGTATTTTGCTTTAAATTCACTATAGTTATCGATCTTAATTTCTTAAAATGTTATGTATAGGCATCCGTATTTACAATAATCGGCATGTTTATACGCACAAAAAAAATTCAAAATTCTTTTTAAAATATTGGTTGTCGATGAAATGTACTAAACTTTTCCATTTATAATTAGTAAATGTAGTTTTTTACTTAATAACAATCTCACGCAATCTCTCAAATTAAGACAACTTTCTAAATTATTAAAAAATCATTTTTTTTAAATGAAAAAGTTCTTGTAAAAATTCATTATCCATCGAAATTTTTTTCTTACCACAACAGGGTTCATAATATATTTCATTCATAAAAGCAATTAAAAGCTTTTCTAATTAAATAATATCTACATTTTATGGTATTATTTATTTTACGAATCAGAGCAGATTTTCATTGCTGGGGGTACTGTTTTTCAAAACGAAATTGATAATTTAAATTCTACAAGGCGATCTGCTTTTAACTAATATATACATTGAGCGCTACAAAATTTAATTTCTCGAAATTTCATGAAATTAAATAAGTTGGGAGTAACAAATATAAAAAATATTTTACAAAGATTTCCTAGAAAAAACATTTCTGAAATAAATAAACTCATTTGTGAATAAGTTCTGAAAGCTTCATTAAAATCTAACTTTTGAAAGAATTTCCGAATCAGTATGTTTTGCACCGCAAAAAAAAGACGCTGAATTTTCCTGTAATAATCTTTGGCTACCGCACTGACGCACCCCCCCCCAAAAAAAAATAAAAAATTAAAAAAAAATAAAAAATGCAAGACTTTTAACCAACGAACGTTCTAAGAAGGATCTATCTTCATAATTATAACAAATTTTTTACGATAAATCTTTGTTTTTACGCCTTTTTTCACCATGGAATGCTAATTTTTTTAATGAATCAATGGAGGCACCTATATATATATATATATATATATATATATATATATATATATATATATATATTATATAAAGAAATATTTTAAGGAATTTATATTTATGGATAGAATGTTCAGTATCAGAGATAATGCGTAGTAAATATAAATATAACATGAACATTGAAGTCAACACTCATTGTTTTTTTTTTTTTTGGACGCAATCGTCAGGCCGCCTGACGATAGTGTCCACCAATGAAACAGCCTGTCGCCTCTGAGTGTTAACTTTAATGTTCACTTTTATATTTATTTATATATATATACATACATATATATATCTGTGTGTGTGTGTTTGTGAGTGTGAGTATGAGTATTTATTGAAAACCACAGACAAAATTTATCATGAATTATTTTATTAATTTCTTTGGCTTTCTTTTGTACCTGCTTACAGCCATATCACGTTGAACACCGGTTCCCATACAATCACTGAAGTTAAGTAATGTCGCGCCTGGTCACTACATAGATGGATGACCGCCTGCAAATACTAGGTGCTATATGCTTGTGTGTGCGGGCGGTGTAATGAAATTGTTAATCCAATTCCCGTTGGTTTCGTCATATTCACTTATGCCCAAATACTCTTGGGAAAGTTATGAATCCACCTCTTCCCCTCTAGCTATGGGTTAAGTAGTAAGACTTGTAGCATTAAAGAATTATTATCTAAAAAAATCTTACAATCTAAAACAAAATATTTTCTGTCTTTAAGTAACCTTCAAAACGTTGATAAGCTGTAGAAAAGGAATCAATCAATCATTGCTTTTGTAATCGATATCGGATGCTTAGTTTAAACGTGTGTGAAGGATATCCTTCTCACTATGTGTAAGCACTGTCAACTATCATTAGTCGTTTTGAAGAAGAGAATTATGCGTTAAATGTCTGAAATTTAAGAAACTTTGTTTTATTTATACATTCATATTTGTGTTTTGGTATTCAGGATGTTATAAATGACACTTTTGTCATTTATATGTTATAAATGCCATGTTAATCGAGGTGAAAGCGTTTTAATTGTTTGACCAACATATATATTCTTCTTTGTCCTGTTATGTGTCATGTAGCTGTACAATTCCGTATCCTCTAAATAATATTTTTCCCATTACTATCCCTTCCAACCCTTGTGCTGCTAACCATTTACACGTGCTCGTTAGATAGCTTCACTCTGCAACTCTTGCCTTCAATATGTCTCGTGAATGGGAAATGGTCCATGCGCTCTTGCCTCATTATGTGTCACATTTATGTGTCTCATTTATGTGTCTCATTATGTCTCATTTATATGTCTCATTTATGTGTCTCATTATGGGTCTCATGTGTCACATTTATTTGGCTCGTTATGTGTCTCATTTATGTGTCACATTTATTTATCTCATTATGTGTCTCAATATGTGCCTCATTTATGTGTCTCATTTATGTACCTCATTATGTCTCATTTATGTACCTCATTATGTCTCATTTATGTGTCTCATTTATATACCTCATTATGTGTCTCATTTATGTGTCTCATTTATGTGTCTCATTATGTGTCACATTTATGTGATCATCATGTGTCTCATTATGTGTCACATTTATTTCATTATGTGTCTCAGTATGTGTCTCATTTATGTGTCTCATTAAGTTTCATTTATGTGTCTCATTATGTGTGTCATTATATGTCACATTTATGTGACCATTATGTGTCTCATTATGTGTCACATATATGTATCTCATTGTGTCTCAATATGTGTCTCATTTTATGTGTCTCATCATGTGTCTCATTATATCTCTCATTATGTGTCCCATTATGTGCCTTATTTATGTGTTCCTCAAATTTCAGCAGCCCCTTTCTGATTTTAAGTAGAATTATTTTTCTTCGTTTACATTTTCTTTAAAAACTTCCTATTTGCTTACATGACTCGTCCGTGGTATTCTCAGTATCACTCAGTAGAACCACATCGCTGATGCCTCAAGCCTTCTCTTCATTTGGGAGGAAATTGTCAAGCATTCACTCGTATATAGGAGGAAGGATATTACATAACAGTTCAGCACTCTTTTCTTTGTTTTTTTTTCCCCTCAACTCTCATCTTTTTCTGTGAAGAAATTGTCCAGCTTTCACTGCAATATAGGAAGGTTGATATTACATAACAGTTCAGCACTCTTTTCTTTGTTTCTAACGATATTTTACTGTCTTTTTTTTAGTTGCTGGCTTTTCCGACGCTGTTTTGGATTTCGGTTCCATATTTTCCGTCGACAATCATAACACTTTCCTGATAGTTAATCATCATCAACATCGTCATCATCATCCTTCGACCTTCCTGCGGTTGGTCGGAACTTCATTGACAATCCACTTTCCACACTGTTCGGACCTGTATTGCTATCCCCAAAGTCTAACACTGAGTCCCGACCTATGGCGTGTAGGAAAGTCAGTTTTCATGAGAAGACATTTCCAGAAGGATGTCATAGTAGTAAGGATGAGACAAATTCCCTATCTGCTCGGGGGCAGTGACCGACAAACAGTAATTGTTTTTGTTTGAACTTAAGAAAGTTTGGTAAATTGTGTTATACGTTACACGGGATCTCTTACTGATTTTCTGGATTTTACTAAGTAGATTTGTATGTGTTCAATCCAGTTGTCCTTCATGATAGGTGAATTTTATTAAACTTCAAAATACAATCTCTTAATGAGAAAGACAATTCATATATCAATTTCGTTATTATTCAATAACGCTTTATTGTTAGAAGCTTTTAGCTTTCTAAATAATAAAATGGCAGTGTATGCTTGGCAATCTCCACAAAGATGAAGAAGCAACAGAAATGTGGTTCTACAGAAGGATGCTGAGGATTCCATGGACCGAATATATGAACAACGACAAAGTTTTTGAGAAAATGGAAACAAAAATTCGTTAGAAACAAGGAAAAGAGTATTAAACTGTTACGTGATATCTCTCCTCCTAGATGTCAATAAATGCTGGACAATCTCCTCAAAGACGAAGAAGAAACTTGAAACAGCAGAAATGTGGTTCTACAGGAAGATTCTGAGGATACTATGGAGTGAATATGTGTGCAACTACAAGGTTTTTGAGAAAATAGAAACAAAAAAGGAACTTATAGATAGTATCAGGAAGAGACGGTTGATATTTCTAGGGTACATAATGAGGAAAGAGTGCTTGGAAAATCTAATACTCACAGGACATATTGAAGGCAAGGGAGATAGGGAAAAAAACGTATAACATACTTCGTGAGGTTGAGTAAATGGATGGTGGAACAAAGTTTAGGATAAATAACAAAAAATTAAAATTTATTAAGATCTTCAAAGAACAGGAAATTGTGGAGAACCATGATCTTCTACGTTTTGAGATGAACAATGTTTATCACTATCATTAAGTAGTTGTAACTACGTAGTTTATTCTTAATGGCCATTTCGTTCTTATCGTTTTGATGCAGTTATTCGCAGTAAATCAGATTTATCTTGGTCGTAATTATCTTGGTCGTAATTATCATGGTCGTAATTATCATGGTCGTAAATATCGTGTGCATTAATTTTATTTAAACGTAATTTTATTTAAACGTAATTTTATTTGTTATTCAATTACACAGAGAAAAAACCTTTGTTAATTATTGTTTGTCTTTTCAGTAATGAGTTCTTTCAACGTATAGGTTTAGATAATATTGCAAACGATTTTCCATATATGCAGAGCGGACGTCTACACGTTCAAAACATGAATTCAATTTAAAACATGCTTAAGTCGTAATGCCATCATGAAAACAAATACAAGCTTTCTTGCGTTTTAAAATCATAACATATCATTCCTGTTCTTAAAAATGACACATTGATTGTAAATGCTAAAATATATACGCGCGGTCAGTTTTATAGGAAACGGTTAAACTCACCATATATATATATATATATATATATATATATATATATATATATATATATATATATATATATATATATATATATATAAGAAATATAGTTTTTAGGTGTGCTATCTTTATGGAATAAAGTGGTCAATATCAGGGATAGAACGTATGTAAACATAAAATGATGATTGCCTCTAGAATGAAGCATTCTGTTGTCTCTGAATGTTGACTTCAATATTCACTTATTATATTTGTATTGTCCACGGGGATATTGCGTAAAATTGTATAAAAGAGAGATTGGCGCCGAAATACAACACCCCCACACATATATATATATATATATATATATATATGAAGAAAAGAAGTTTTAAGGTGTTCTATATTTATGAGATAAAGTGCTCAATATGAGAGATAGAGCATATGCAAATATAAAAGTGAACATTGAAGTCAACACTCAGAGGCTCAATGTTCACTTTCATATATATATATATATATATATATATATATATATATATATATATATATCCTCGCCATTCCACAATCTATCTATCTATCTATCTATTTATTTATCTATCTATGTATTAGCTAGACACACAATACACTTTATATTATACACAAACATATATATATATATATATATATATATATATATATATATATATATATATATATATATATATATATATGATGGGGGTAAAAGTGTAAGAGATTATCTCTAATTTTATTTCGGATACTATTCTACATCCTACTAATACGCACACACACAAAAAACATATATGTATGTGTGTCTGTGTGTGTATATATATATATATATATATATATATATATATATATATATATATATATATATTTTGTGTGTGTGGGAATGAATGATAGATAGATAGATAGATAGATAGATAGATAGATAGATAGATAGATAGATAGATAGATAGAATCGATGTAGAAATGTATATTTAAATATGTAAATCTATTTATCTATCTATCTACCTACCTATTTATCTATCTAAAGTTGTTCATATCTATCTAGCGATAAGTTAGACAGGGAACACCTTGTATGATTTTACATCATATAGAAACACGCACATATATATATATATCGAATGTTTTCCTATAAAGAAGCGGCTAATCTCACCATCTATCTATCTATCTATCTATCTATCTATCTATCTATCTATATATATATATATATATATATATATATATATATTATATAATATATGTATGTATATGTGCACTTGTTCGTGTATCGCTAGATAAATATGCAATTAAATATTTAAATATACATGACAGTATGTATGTAAGTATATATATATATATATATATATATATATATATATATATATATATATATATATATATATATATATATATATAGGTACTATCGAGCAATATATTACAGACCTTTTCTGCAAACCGTTACGACTTCATTGAGAATCATCTTTGCTTGAGATCGAACATTTTTCTAAGGAAATCCATGTATCTATATTTTCCAAATAGATAGAAACAGACACAATGTCGACATGTCAGTAAAGTAAAACGGAAAGAGATCATTTTGGAAACATTTATTTGTTGTGTTTACCTTTGGAGATGGATAGATAGATAGATAGATAGATAGATAGATAGATAGATAGATAGATAGGAACAGATTGGGGATAGATAGATAGAT